TCCACTCACCTCAGCCTCCCAAAGGCGCAGGATTACAGGCTGAGCCACCGAGCCTGGCATAACTATCTACTTTCAAGGCTGTTTGTTATACAAATATCTTTGAAAATATAGTCCAGAACAAAGGGCAGTTAGTTCCTCATTTTACAAGATGTGCAGAAATGAAAGTGACCCATGGAGAATGTCTCCCAACTTTGGATTCTAACTTAATTGCATTGTGGTTAGAGGAACGTTCTGTGCCATCAATTCTTTAATTCATTGAGACTCATTCATGGCCTATGTTTTCTCTTGTTTTGTTTTTTTTTTTTGAGTTGGAGTCTCACTCTGTTGCCCAGACTGGAGTGCAGTGGCCACTCCCGGCCACCGCAGCCTCAACCCGCTGGGCTCCAGTGATCCTTCCGCCTCAGCCTTCCAAGTAGCCGGAATTACAGGCATGTGCTACCACGCCTGCTAATTTTTTTTGATTTATTGTAGAGATGAGGTCTCACTGCCCAGGCGGGTCTCGAACCCGCGGGATCAGGCAATCCACTCACCTAGACTCCCAAAGGCGCGGGATTACAGGCTGAGCCACCGAGCCCGGCTGTTTTCTCTTGTTATTAGATGCAGGCTCTGGTGCGTGTCAGTCAGATCAAGACTGGAACTTTTTGTACAGATTTTCTATGTCTGTAGTGACTTTTGTCCAATCTATTACCAGGAGAGATGTGTAATGCCTCTCACCCTGTTGGTGAATTTGTTCATTTTCCCTTATAATTCTGTTAATTTTAGTTTTAGTTTTTTTTTTGAGTTGGAGTCTCACTCTGTCGCCCAGACTGGAGTGCAGTGGCTGCTCCTGGCCACCGCAGCCTCGACCTGATGGGCTCCGGCGATCCTTCCGCCTCAGCCTTCCGAGTAGCCGGAATTACAGGCATGCGCTACCACGCCCGGTTGATTTTTTGATTTATTGTAGAGATGAGGTCTCGCTGCCCAGGCGGGTCTCAAACCCGCGGGCTCAGGCAATCCACTCACCTCAGCCTCCCAAAGGCGCGGGATTACAGGCTGAGCCACCGAGCCCGGCTAATTTTAGTTTTATATGTTTGAGATCATATTATCAGATACTTCATACCCCCAGAACGTGAGCTAGAACACTAACAAGCAATTTATACTTAAGTATTTGTGAGTTCCTCACAATCCCAGGCTCCTGCCTCCCCAATTTGAGGTAACTACTGAAGGACAGTGGCACCAGCAAGATTCAACACCCTTTGAGGTCAAGAGATTTATTAGAGCAGCGGCTACAGAGAGAGGGAAGAAGGTCTATAACTGCTTGGTAGGGAAGGGGAGTGAGTGAGCAACGGCAAGAGAGGTCTGCATTTATTGGTTTGGGAGGGGGCGGCCAGTGCTGTACCGGAGACTGACGGTGCCGGCCAGTGCCATCTTAGGGTCTTTATTGGAGGGAGCTATGAGGTAGTATTCCTATAGGGAGATAATATTTGTGTATAGATTTAAGTTTCGCGCGTGCGGGAAGAGCAGGAGCTTAGGGCCTTTGTTGTCTTTGTTTGGTTCCATATAGTGTTTAGCACCATCTCGGGAGACGCCCTTCTGACTGTTCCCTGTGCCTTTCAACTACTATCCTTTCTTCTCTTTTCCCACCTTGAGCTTTTTTCTTTTCTTTTTTTGGTGTTGGAGTCCTACTCTGTCACCCAGGCTGGAGTACAGGGGCACACTCATGGCCACCCTAGCGTCGATCTGCTGGGCTCTGGGGATCCTTCCGCCTCAGCCTTCCAAGTAGCTGGAACTACGGGCACGTGCTGTCACGCCCAGCTAGAGCTTTTTAAAAAATTGTATATTCTCCCATTTATTGGTTTGTGAGTTATATACTGTATTCAATTTATATTATTGAAGTAGTTTACTTTAAAATGTTAATATACATACTTAAGAAGATCTCACTCTCATCCCTAAGTCGACTCTCCATCATAACACAAGGAGCTTAGAATGCTTTAACTTCAGTCACCCCTCTCAGGCTGTTCCTTTAGTCTGTTTTTGTCTTACCCTGATTCCATAACATAAACATTAATATATTATTATTGTTGTTTTATACAGTCAATGTTAGTTTAAATTTATCCACCTTAAGAAAAGGACTGATGGCCGGGATCGGTGGCTCAGCCTGTAATCCCAGTGCTTTGGGAGGCTGAGGTGAGTGGATTGCCTGAGCCCGCGGGTTTGAGACCCGCCTGGGCAACTTGGTGAGACCTCATCTCTACAATAAGTCAAAAATTAGCCAGGTGTGGTATTGCGCACCTGTAGTTCCAGCTACTTGGAAGGATCGCTGGCTCCCACCAGATCAAGGCTGTGGTGGCCTTCCAAGTAGCTGGAATTACAGGCACGTACCACCATGCCCAGCTAATTTTTTTCTTTATTTATTGTAGAGATGAGTTCTTGCCAAGTTGCCCAGAACTTTGGGAGCTGGAGGCCAGAGGATTGTCTGAATCCTGGGATTTGAGACTAGCCTGGGCAACTTGGCTACAATAAGTCAAAAAATTAGGCAGGCATGGTGGTTCAGGCCTATGATTCCAGACAATACAGTAACGGAAATAAAAGTTGTGGAGGAAGATAAGCTCAGCAACAATTAGGTTAATTACATTACAAAAGGAGGCCTCAAGGGAAAACTTGCAAATTTTAGGAAAAATTTACTAACCCTGTTGCAAGAAGCAACTCATCATTGTTAAGCAACTCTGGCAAAATAGATAACCACAATCAACCCTCCTGAGCAATTCCAGCACAGCCTACACATACTTTCTCCAACAGCCCTATATGAAACTTCTTCAAAGTCCCTGCTTCAGTGCAGTCTCCCTCTGTTGTACCCTTCACTTCCTTTTATGGTTATATTCTGTCTTTAAAAAATTCACAACTGTCTTGGTGAATCCTTCATTGCCTGCATGACTCTGGCCTCAACTAGTCATATGCACAACGAAAGTGACATGTAATAGACAGCCAAATGTTAAATTGTGCAGCGATTTCCTGTCCCTTGGCACAAGATGGTGTGTCTGCAGTTGCTGGAGGACAAGTCTGATCTAGTGTAAAATTCCATAAAGTTGTACAGGGTTTTTGCTGTTTACCAAGTGTGTTAGACACATAACTTGATTGCATTCTTACAATTACCTCATGAGATAGATATCATGACACTTATACAGGTTCAGAAAGATGGTTGGAAAGATTCATCTCCTCCCCGTCCCTCTTCTTCTTCTTTTTTATTTTGAATTGGAGTCTCACTCCAGTCACCCAGACCGGAGTGCAGTGGCACGCTTACCACCACCCCAGCGTCGACCTGCTGGGCTCCGGTGATCCTTCTGCCTCAGCCTTCCAAGTAGCCGGAACTACAGGCACGCGCTACCATGGTTCAGCTAATTTTTTATTTATTGTAGAGACGAGGTCTCGCCAAGTTGCCAAGGCAGGTCTTGAACCTGTGGGCTCAGGCAATCCACTCGCCTCGGCCTCCCAAAGTGCTGGGGTTACAGGGTGAGCCACGGAGCCCGGCCTCTTCTTTTTTAAGAGACAGGGTCTTGCTTTGTCACCCAGGCTGGAGTGTGGTTGTGTGATCATTGCTCACTGCACCCTCGAACTCCTGGGCTCAAGCAATTCTCCCCCCTCAGCCTCCCAAGTAGCTGGGACTACAGGACAGCACCACCATGCCAGGCTAATTTTTGATTTTTTGTAGATACGAGGTCTCCCTACTTTGCCCAAGCTGGTCTGGAACTCTTGGCCTCAAGCCATCCTCCCTACTCGGCCTAGATTCACCATGCTTGGGCGAGTCGCCCAAGGTGACACACAGTCCTAACCATTGGTGGAGAGCAGAGCGTGGGACCTCAAACCCAGACTCTTCCAATCCAGGGCTCAGCTTTTCCTGCTGCGTCCCTGGAAGACGAGAAAACAGGAAACGTCAGCAGAGGTGCGGCTGTAACAGCTCAGCCGGATAAATCTGGGCCGGTGGGGCCCACCCCGCCCCCCACCCTCCTCTGACGTGCGTCCTGAGGCCCCTTCCGTTGGAGAGCCCAGAAGAGGA